AGGAAGATGGAGCACCGGGTCACACTGCTAGAAACACCCAAAAGAAGCAGGAAGAAAATGGCATCCAGAAGTTGCCCTGGCCGAGCCAATCTCCTGACATGAACCCCATCGAAAACCGCTGGGCCACACTCGACCGGCAAGTCAAGAAACAACCAAAAAAAACAACTTCAAAGAGCGATCTACTCCAAGTTTTGAAGCAAGAGTGGTCGAAAATCCCACAATCTAAAATTGACGAGATGATTCTCATGATGCCCCAAAGGATCAACGAACTCCACGAAGCGAAAGGAAGATCTACTAGATATTAATTAAATTATAAATATATCAATTCATGTGAATATGACTGAAAATTTTCATTTTTTTCTGAAAAGGTGGTGTCTATTTACTTGTGACCACGCTGTGTATAGTTAACCACTACATATTACTAACAATAGACAGATATGAACATAGGTGTGTGTAGATTTTTACAACTTGAAAAAATTTAGTTCATCCCATCACAGCCCAAACTATAGTTTTATTATACAACAATAAGCCAATAAAATGTTTGTTGAAACAATACTAACCCTAGCAACAACAAATTAACACAGTTGTTGAAACAATACTAACCCTAGCAACAACAAATTAACACAATGTTTGAAACAATACTAACCCCATCAGCATTCGCCTCACAAAATCGAACATTACTGGGAATAGTCCGCAACAAATCCAAGCCTATCTGTCTTCTGTTTTCGGAAATCACCTGTGTAGAAGCAATAGGTAATAACATAAAATTGGCCACAAGAACACAGTAGTTTAATCTAATACTAAACGTTATCAGCACCTTAATCCAAACCTTGTATATCTGTGCAGGAACTAGAGGTAAAAATCACATGTATATACCTTATTATATCTTACTCCAAAGAACCATCTGGTGCATACAGTGTTTTACAATTGCTCTTTCCTTATTTATTAAAGACTAATTGGCTAATTTTCTTTGTTTCATATTCAAAGTTGTCATATTGCTGTGGTAGACTTATTATAATTTTTAGTAGAAACATGAAATACGAAACGAACCAAATAAGTTGTTATATTTTATATGAAACATCCGTATATTTGTATACAAGCATGTATGCTTTCTAAAAAATATATAGCACTTATTTGACTTATATCCCATTGTTTGCTAACGGGTTTAAACGTTTACTATGACGATGTATGTCAGTGACATTTACGCCAGTGCTAATTGTATTAATTGTGTTCTTGGAGATGAAACTATTACATCGTCGTTTTGAATTACGCCATAATCGAAATTTTCTCTTTTTGCTTTTTCTAAAGCCTAGGTAAACTAATTTCAATTTAAAAAATTATGCTGATTAAAGTGAGTTTAGAAACTTACGTGTTTCTAAATACTCTAAATTGATATTGATTAAATTTGCTTCAGTTATGCATGAACATTAAGAGTAAATAATTACATTCAAATTTAAGTACTTTAAATGAAAACTTTCAAATGCATTAGCTATTGTTTTTTTTATATTGTAAGCTGTGATAAGCATAAAGAGGAATGTTCGGATTAACAATCTATGTATAGAAACCTGCTGGTGATCAATAAGAAAGCCTGAAAAAATGTACAACTAGACGGCGCTACAAGCAAACTGATATTGTTCTTAATCTTTACCACACATTTTTCTTTTTCTTCCAGCAACCCCGCTGGTGACTCAGCGGTAAGTCTACGGGCTTCTAACGCTAAAAATCGTGTTTCGATACCCGCGATAGACAGAACACAGACAGTCCATTGTGCAACTTTGTGCTTAACAACAAATAAACCTTACAGCGATTTAACCAGTTATTTGTATTTTCAGATTTTACCAAGCTTTAGCTGCGTTTGGTTGCTATTCTTGTTGACTAATTGTGTAGACCTATATGATAAAATTATAAATATAATACTGCATGCCACCTGGCCGCAGAATATATTTAAATCAGCTTTTATACTTCTTTATTTTACTCAATCACTATTCCCTGATTATTACTCTCCTTTATTTAATTACATTAAGATTTAACATAACATACGGGCAACAATGGATCGTTTCAAGAATGTAATTTAACAAAGGGCTTTGGGTGGAGGCAAAGAAAGCTAACATCGAGTACTGTCCCCCCCCCCTCACACACACAATTCAGCTGGGGTTCTACGCTATGGCGTAATTTGCATGTAGTAATTTGGTCTGACTAGAATATTGACATTTGCTGCGCTCTTGCGAGCCTGAGGGCAGTCGCCCCTGTCACCGTCCCCAAGTGATTCATCTGGACCATTTGATCCTTTACATACCATCCTTGAGTCAAGTACAAATTTAAACCCATCCTTTATTTTTCAGGAAATCATCTGTTCCATTCCTAAAGCCCCCCAGTGGCACAGCGGTTATGTCTTCGGACTTATAACGCTAGAAACCGGATTTCGAAACCCGTGATGGGCACGACACAGATAGCCCATTGTGTAGCTTTGTGCTTAATTACAAACAAACAAATCCACTCTTAAACTCCTGTAAAGTGCTGGCCCCCACTACCGCCAACTGTAACTTATTCCATAAGCCAATCAACCTGTTAAAACTGGTTTAACAGGAAAAGACAGGCAAGGTTCGAAATCTTAAGCTTGTATCCTCTCGACCTATTATTTTCAAAATATAGCACAGGGAAATCAGAAGCCTTTTCCATATAGTTCTGACGGATAACCTTGTAAACTTCAATAAGATCACCTCTTACTTTTCTTTTCTCCAGAGAAAAATAAGTTAAGTGATATTTATCGATCCCTATAAAGTAAACCTTCCATTCGTGAGATCCATTCTATTAGCCCTCCTCCAATATAATCAGTGAAAAATTGTCATTACATTTATACAATAAACAATAGCAGAATCCACCTTTAGTAGAATTATCATTAAAATATTCTAATTGATAATAAACTATTTTTAAAGATTTTAATTTATTGAATTCATAGTTCTGCTAACCACTCGAAAGATAAATTTAGAGCAAAGCTTAAATATAGAACATTAATTTTAATAAAGAAAAACATAACTGTAGAATAAATTCCTACGTTTTCTTAGAAATAACATCAAAACAAACGAAGTTTAGTGTATATAAATATTTTTTTAAATCAAAATTCACGTTCAGTAGCATTATTGTCAATAAAATATGAAATGTGTTTTTACACTTCCTTAACTATTCAACATATGATTCCGTTAAAGAATTTGCTTGTGATCGATAAGAAATCCTGCAAAAATATAATACTAGATTGCGCCACAAGCAGAGTTATTTTTGGGTGGTTGTCAAAGTACATTTTTCTATATATCACTCTTTATAGTGAACAGTTAGAGAAATGAATCTAATTTAAAATCCAGTTTTCTTGACCGAATAAGTATAAATAATAAGGCAAAATTAAAATACACGATACAGTTAACATAAATTATTAATTTAAGAAATTATATAAATGACTAAAAAAAAAAAGAGAAATACCCCTGACTCGGAAGCCATACTGCTCAGATTGTTGAAGTAATGAGATCCTTTACTGTCCATTACGTCTTTCAATTTCTGCCGATAGAGCGCGCGCCATACACGACCTCGTAGATGAGACGGTATTCCCCCACGCACCAGATTTTTTAATTCTTTCTGATGTAAAGAAGATAAAAACACCAAGTTTTTAAGTTTTATAGTACTAACATTTAAATGCTTAGTTGATTAACAATGGCATCCGGCATTCTAAAGTCTCTAAATACATTTTTTATAGACATTACTCTTTTTTATATTGAAAAGGTATTTTAATATATTTAATCTAAGACCCAGTTTTGAAAAAGTGATACTTGAATTTTTACTTTTAATTTGAATACTAAATCTTCAGCACAAAACAAGCACAAATAAAGGTTTTTAAAGATAAATTTGGAAATTGTAGCCATTAAACTATCTTGGATGGAAAGGGCCCAGAATTTTTTAGCTGACGTCCAAACATTTCATTAAATAGAAATGTCGACATCACAACTTTAGGCAGTGTACATTTCAATATTCATAAATTATTAATATAAAAACAATAAGTACTTTACTTTGTATATTTTCTTTCGGTAAACCTCAAATAGGTGTATAGAGATATAGAAAGTAAACAATGCTATAAATAAATAGATAAATTAAGTAATTTATGTGGTCTCGTATAATAGATGGTTGATAAAAATTGGAACTTGGAAATCATGCAAGGTTCGTTTTTACATAGGATTCTCTTTTTCTAAGCCACAGTAAGACTATCACCAATTACTTTAACTCTAAAATAGTTTGGATTACCTACCGAGTTCTGAAGGTTGTTACCATGACGATGAAGATAGTCGATCCAGTGTTTCTCATGTTGTTTGTATTCTCCTAGAAGTGGAGTATAATATTGATGAAGCTGGCGACATACGTAGTTTAGAATGAGTCCTTCATTCGAACAGATGTGTTTAAACCCCAGGGAGTCCACGTGTGTCATAAACTTCGATATTCTATGAGTAGAGAGCTTAACATTAGATCAGTCTTAATCACGGAATTCATTAAAGTGAACTTGTTAAATGAGAAAACAAGACGATTATAAGAAAACTAGTTAACAATATAGATTATGTGGGGAATTACTGACATATAGGCAATTTAAGCCTTGCAGTAAAATTATTGCCGAATCTTTTTTTTTTTATTCATCATTAAGGTTTTATAGTAAACTATAATTTAAGTTATTGTTAAAACTAAAATATTTTTACTCGCATAATCCTTTTTTAGAGCCCCCTCAATTTTTTTTACAAGCTAGTCCAACTCGTTCCACGCAATGTGTTGAAACACTGAATTACTCGTACCGTTAAACATTTGATCCTTGATTATCTCTTTGTGGGTTTCAATCAGAAATAAGCTTTCACGTAGTGTGTTGAAACACTGAATTACTCGTACCGTTAAACATTTGATCCTTGATTATCTCTTTGTGGATAATCAAGGATCAAATGTTTAACGGTACGAGTAATTCAGTGTTTCAACACACTACGTGAAAGCTTATTTCTGATTGAAACCCTTCTTTGTGGGTTTCAATCAGAAATAAGCTTTCACGTAGTGTGTTGAAACACTGAATTACTCGTACCGTTAAACATTTGATCCTTGATTATCCCTTTGTGGGTTTCAATCAGAAATAAGCTTTCAGTATTTTAGCCATCTTTAAAACAAGTGCAGCACAAAAACTTCATTTTATAATAGAAAGTGATGAAAATTAATGTTTGTCATGGTGGAATCTGAACCTCGTTTATTCTTCCTAATTTTATTTTAATAATGCTTCAAAAGCTTTCTTCATTATCAAACATTTACAGCTGTCTGATTTGGTTTGGTTTAAAAATTTTACGTTAAGTCCAAGTTATTCTTAACATTTCAGAATCCGTTTAATAAGTCAACAGTATCTTTAATCTTTTTTTCGACACTTATGTAGTAATTCTGGGAGTTCTACACTACAGTTGAAACTTAGTTTTCGATCTTATAAAACTCCAACGATTGGTCAACAATCCCATAGTAACTCATGAATTATAATTTCAAAGTGTTTCTATACCTTTCAATATTTGATACTAAAACCTAGCCTTCTGTTCCTTCCGTTTATCTTATTGACTTCTAAAGCCTTAGTTTGATAATCTCTAAATCAGTGTGATAAACACAATCAGGACAAAGTACATAAATGAGTAAAATCAAGAAGCCACTCCATTAACAACTATAAATGCAGAAATAGTCATATTACTGTTATTATGCAAAACAAAGGACAAGGGCGTTAATTTGTAATATTTAAAGGGGCCATGATAATGGTGCTCACTAAGCAGGAATATATTTATTAATGACGACTTTTATGACCCACTGTTCAAGATAATGTGTCATCAGTCTGTTAAGAGTGTTAATGAAAATGTCTTTTACAGAGAAGAACTTATACCGCTAACATCTGAAAACTGAAGCTGGTAAAAAAGTAATTGGATATTAAAATGTGACCCATTGATTGATTATATCAAAAGTGATCAGGATCAATCTATCTTCAACAATACCATGATGAAAATGTTACATATGTCATATGGTATTAAAAACCAATCTAAGCACTGCTCGTCTCAAATGTAAACAGTAAACTATGCCTTTAGTGGTGCTTACAGTGCAAAATGTTAACAAGGAAGTTATAAGGGGCTATCTGATAAAAAATTTACTCTTTCGGTACTGATAGTATGGTAAAAGTATGGAAAACAAGTGTGAGGTGCAGGAGATGCTGTAACAGTGTGTAAAACGTTTTCAGGACATAAGAAAAGTCCTTTGATTTCTTAAAAGAGAATAACATCGTTGTTCTCATAAATTCAATCCGATAATGTTGGATTTCAATACTGATGAATAAAGACTCTCTCAAGCTAATATTGAAACTTCCTGTAGCTCTTATGTTGACCACCACTGTTTTCAAGAGCATGATAATGACTACAATCATATCGTTTAACCATATCAATTACAGGACTTCAATCCAATAGAGATATTTTGGAATTAACTCAGACCTCATGTGCAGGACAGTACCATATGTTTACTACCCCTTTCGTTAATTTGTTGTTTTTTTCGAAATTTCTGTATTCTTTGGGTTCACTTTGAACGTAGAAAATGGTTCAAGTAAACAGTTCAACTTTCCTATACTGTTACAGCTTAAATGTACTTTCATGCAGTAAAGATGGCCGTCATTTCATTCGTAATTTCCAAAAATAAACGTCTGTCTTTTCTTCTAGCAAATCGGGTTTCCTTACATTTTTGCTCACAGGAGAGTTGTTCATGATAATGTGAATGAGGTTCAGACCGTGAGTAGCCTAACTTGGAATTTATAGGCCAGGCATTCTCCTATTATTTGAAATTTTGCAGATTATGTTAGCTTTGTTTTGTAGGTTGTGTCTTATTTTAACGTAAATTGTGCATAGTTTAACTTTCAACTTTTTCTTTTTTACACTGAACTGAGAGAGAGAACAAACGTTTCTCCTACACCATTTGCTTATCAAATTACACACTCACACAACAAACACTTGCTCGTGATTTTTTTATTGTAACTGTTGTTGTTTCTTAATAAAGATGTTGATTCTATATTTTTGTACTGTCTCTTTCTTTGCAACAAATTCAGTCAGGGTCAAGGAAGAGTAGACTCATACTCTGTAATAAAATATTCCTCAGATCTCCAGTTTTATGGGCTCTACCCATTTACTCTAAAGGAAATTGTGGTATGTAAGGAGAAGAAACTTTTTGTACCTTAACCACAGATACTTTTATTGCAGAGATTTGTTCTCCTAGAGTAATTGTCTGAGTGTGCTCTTCGAGTCTCTAGTGACTGTGTCGAGGATTCAAACCCGTGAAAATGACATTCTATAAGTTGGAGTAAGAGTTGAGAACAGAAAAGTCGTGGTGCATAGTTAGTGTAGTTAGGCGTAGGAGAAGTATTTTTCTGGGTGTCATACTTTTGCTGATGCTGCAAAGGCTCCTTACGACCATCTCCCTGCAGCTGCAAACATAGAATGGAGAACTTTCAGTTTCTAAAACACCCAGAAAAGCCATAGAGGCTCTCCTCGTGAAGTTAAGCCTCAACATGAGTGAAATTTGGACATCTGAGGACCGTCAGGGAGCTGCATAACCTATGGTGTCCAAGACCTAGTGGGGCAGTCTTTAAAGAACCCCGAGATATTTGCTGACTAAAGCAGCAGAGCCACAGATCTACTTGAGGCCATCCTCAGTTGCAAGAGAGAAATGTGGGGTGCTTGATGGACAACATTTATTAATAGGAGCTATTTTACCAGCAGGTGAGATAGTGGGCACTTGAAGAGGAAGAATGTGGTCAGTGGAGCAGTAAGGAACCTCTCTGTGATGGAAGGTGTGCTACCGAGCCGAGAGAGAGATGCAAGATGGTAGTAGGTATTCCCGAGTGAGGATTGTTATTTTTGGAGCAGAAGAAACTTCTTCTCTACCCCAATCTTTAAGGGTGTGGGCAAAGAGGACTTCATTCTTGAGCAATTAGGAACTGAAACACAGTCACTGCCAAGTTGCATCAATATTTAAACCCAATATAAACTTAGCAGTTCATTGGGCTGAGTTTAAGGTGCAGATAAAGGGTCTGTTTGAGAGCTTCTGTGCTTTTAGTGATAATATGTACTATTTGCTTGGGAAAGAATACCCTGCGATATCATCTGCGGTTCATGAGGACATACTTGCTCACAAGTTCATAAACATACTACCAATGAGATTATTGAGGTGCAAGATATTCACACTCTAACAGAGTTGGTATCCACTGTAAGTTGGTATCCAAGGACAAATCACAGGAGAGGAGAAAGTCAACAGTAACAGCTGTTGCAACAACTCCCAACAAGGACCATCCTGTTTAAGCCTCTTGTTGAACTCAAGCATCACTGAAGAAATTCATCAACAACACATCCTGGTGCTGCAGCACAGACATGTCAATTTCCAATGAATAGAAAGGACTACCCCGACATCCCTATAGTTTTTGTATTGTAGCCAATGCCAATTACATATCCACCCGATCATTCTGGAAAGAAGGAAAAATCAAAACAATTGATGAAGTTGTGGGTGCAGGTGCACTTCAATCTGAAATGTTAATATTTTGCCAGACAGAAAGATAGGTGGAACACTTGATTCCAAGCTGATATCACTTTGGCTCCAGAAAAACTAATGTAGCCTGAGTCAAGTCTATCACTAACGCAAGGAAGCACTGCAGACAACTTATGTCAAATGGGGTGTGGCAGTCAACTCATCTCTCTCTTACGACTGGGTATAGTTTTATATGTGCCTGTAAAGATGCACAGTCGAATAATGGATTTCCTTGTTGATACAGTAGTAGCCATGACTCTGGTGGATGCTGCCATGTATCAGGCATTCCAAATGAAGCCACTACTCGAGCCAGTTAAGACTAACTTTGTTGTGGCAAATGACAGCATGTTAAATGGAAATGAAGATGCAAGTCTCTGACTATGTCTGGATCACGTGAACTACAGGGCAGATATATTCATCACAGGCATTGGTTCTGATACTGGCATCCTTGAGATGGGCATACTACAGAAATTCTATGCACATTTTACCTGTTCAACAAGTGAACTAAGTTTCTATGGTAAAATGCCCATTGTCAGTCATAATAAGCCCAAGAACAGTGGACTGCATGTATGTGCCTTGCGGAGGGAGACAGTACCTCCATATACACTAGGGGTATGCCATGGTTTAGTATGTCTAGTACGTTAGCATCATGTAGTACAGCTGTCGAGCCAATGTCAAAAACACACTGTTTGCCATCCAGAAAGGAGGAAACATGAGCACAGATAATGAACTGTCAATCAAGGGACGAAGTCTCAGTGTTATTCAACAGTTGTAAGCAACTGACAATCCAGCTTCCTACTAGAATGGTAAGCAAAGTGGAGATTGCCAACACCAACAGTAATGCTAGTGTTGCTTCTGTCGCAAAATGTCTGAAAACAAACACTAGGCTGCCAGTTCATCTGAGGTTGCTAGTTGAGAATTGCAACAATGTCTCAGTGACCTGTTGTTTACGTATTTGTGAGACTAGCTGGCTAACTGGGTAAAACAACAATAGCGTGCTACTACAGGCAAGGAGAATCTGATTAAACAACCAGATTTTCAGAAAGGAGGACAACATGAACAGGTTCTGTGTTTATTTCTAATATGTGAATGCCGTGATGTACATTGATGCCTTTTCTCTGCTGTGGATAGACAAATGGCAGGACTTGTTGAAAAGTAGCCAATGGTTTAGCTCTTTAGATCTTGCTTCCTGATACTAGCAAGCTGAACTGGATAAAAAGAACAGACCCGAAACTGCTTTCAGCACTCGAAATGTTTTTTTATAATTTCTATGTCATCCATTTGGCCTTTGTAAGGGTTTAGCTACTTTAGAGAGGCTAATGTAGCTTACATTTAAGTGGCTTCAATGAGAGAGATTATTGATCTTCATGTTGATAATGTATTGATATTTGTTTGTACGTGTGAGTCTACTGTCATGAACCTAACCATTTAACAGGATTAATAATTAAGGCTGAGAAATGTGTACTTATGTGCATGCAAGTAGAATTTTTCAGTCACATAATGGGGAGAGATAGTATCTCAAACAACCTTGCAAAGATTACAGCAGTCCCAGACTTGTCTCGGCCTGTGATGAGATGAGATGTTTAAAGCTTCCTTGGCTTCTTATCGAACTTTTGTAGCCAATTTTTCCAAGACTGCTGTTCCAATGTCTATGCTCATTAAAGATGTGTGCATTTGAGATGGACTGGGGAGTGCAAACATGCATTTCTGTCCATAAAGTGCACTTGAGTTTAAGAGTATCCATAAAAGGACTGAGTTCCTGTTGGACACAGATACCATTACTAGAGGAATCGGAACAGTATTGTTACAGTTCCAGACAATCAATGGTGTACCACGAAGAAGACACTGCTTGTAGTTGTTGTCTTCGTGAAGCTCTACCAACATTACTTCTTATGGCAGAAAGCTCATCCAGGTTCCCACTATCATACACTTTTGCAGATTTTGTAGACTCCAGATTATGGTTAGCTATATTTCTAGGTTGTGTTTTATTTTAACGTAAAGGGGTGTTTGTTTTAACTGTTAACTCATATTTTTTGAAGGGGCACGGTGGCTCACACCGAACTGGTGAGTAAGAACTAATAAAGGTCTTCTTACATTGTCTCTTCCTCTTTCCAGTTCCACATTCATACGGTAAACACTTGTCCACTTTTTGTACCGTGGCTGTTTCACTTTGGTATATTTTAATTGTGTATTTATGCACCGTCTTTTATTTTTTCTTGAAACGAACTCTATAATAAATTATTTTTTGGATCAACAAATTGTGGGTCCTACCCATTTGTTCTGAGATAAATCAGTGTGACTGAGACTGTTACAGTCACGTTTCCCCACCATTTTCCTTTTCCAAAAGATGTGAACCAATTTCTGTCCATATTCAAACAAAATACGTTCAATCATCTTGTAGAGTCTTTTGTTTTTGTGGTGAAAAGTGGTTTTACCCAATATTAGCTGTAGGTCCTAATAAAATGGTCAATCACTGTATGTAGTAAATTAATTTATATTTCTAAGAATTGTGAAATTAAAAGAAAATGAGAATTGTTTTAAAAATGGGAGTAGTTTATTTACTGTTTATATAAAACTTTTGACAATAACAGACTTACCCATCGTAAGCTGGAAGAGCTGGATTATGCTTTCTGGCTTCCTCTAGTAATGATAAAACTTTCGTTTTGTGCTTTAAAGAAGAAAAAAAGGATCGTCTCAACTATAAGCACCAACTTCTGAGATAAAGTCTTTATATTATTAAATATAAAATGAAAATTTCAATCGATGCTATTATATAATATTTTATAAAATATCATTGAATGAGATTCTTGTGCGTCAAAATTTTTAAACCACAAGGTATGCTACTTGTAAGGCCTGGCATAGCCTGGTGGTTAGGACACTCGACTCACAATCTGCGGGTTTGAATCCAATCACCGAAATACTCGTCTTTTCAGCCGTGGGGACGTTATACTGTTACGGTAAATCCCACTAGTAGATTACATTAGCCCAAAAGTTGGCAGTGGGAGGTCTTGACTAGAAGTTTTCCCTCTATCTGGTATATTATTTCAAAATGAGGGACGGCGAGAACAGATAGCCCTTGAGTAGCTACTTCAAAATGAGGAACGGCAAGAGCAGATAGCCCTTGAGTAGCTACTTCAAAAAAAAACTTGTGAAGGAAATTACCACCTACATTCTAAAAGTAGCATGGTCTAGGTTAATGAATCAAACAAATAAAGAAAAACAACAATATAAACCATTGTATTATAAAAATTTAAATAAACCAGCTTACGAACTGAAATAATTAGTTATTACTATTCAGACGAATCAACAAACGAAACTTTAATTTTAACTTCTAAAAGTTGCCTTAGTAGATAAAGCTTTGATATACGAGTATATTTGATTTGACATAGAAATATTTAGAATAAAAAATTGGATCATTATATCGGAAGATTTTCAATGTAAGCATATTACTTAAATGTAAGTGTCCACAAAATAATGATGACACTGGTTTCCGAACAAAAACAAAAAAACTGACAGACATAACTAAGTTTTATTTCACATTTCAAGTATTGATAATGCTAATATATTAACAATGACCTCCCAGCTTTCGTTAGAGGGACATTTGATAACTGCACAAAAATCATAGGTAAAGAAGAATTACAAAATAAATATATTTTCAAGGCTGTATCGATCTGTGTATGTTGTTTTTGATGTTTCATATTACTATTTCTAACCTTGTAAATATCAAAATACATATGTATTGAGATATTGATTATAAAAGTTAACTACTGCTAAGTGCAACTTAACTTACTCCGCAACTAATAGGTTATTACTAATTCTCAATTATTATTAGCCGCGGCATAGCGGTTCATAGAATGGCTCCGAGTTTGTTTGTTTTTTCAAGTACTAACTTTTAACTCATAGCTCCATCATCTCTTGGCCGATTTGAGATCTAATTACTGTTTTGGACTCAGGAAGTCGAACCCTTTCTACTGATCATGCCCAAGGTCTCATAGATTAATTTACTCTAATCCTGCCTAAAAGAATTTCAATTTGAGGATAGGCTGGTAGAAATCCTGATGAGTAATAAAATCGAATCAGGTATACACGCGCCCTAAGCTTGGTATTACTGGCGCACAAAAATATAGCTAATAAAAAGGGGGAAAAAGGTCTCAGAGTAAATTAACTCTAACACATATTACTTGAAAATTATTAAATCAAGCAAATCAAATTATATAGTTAGCAATTAGAATGTCTTAAAGTTAGTTAAAAAGTATTAATACACGCAATTTTTAGCTGAATTCAATATTTTAAGTGTATCGAAACAAGTTTATGGGAATTCTAGCAAGAGTCACGTAGATTGTTTGAAGCGTTTTAACCCACAGAAGTTTATTCTCTTGGTTGAAATCGAGTATTAAGTTCGACAAACTTAACACCATATTTACTCTAGCGATCATACTCTATCTGCTTCTTAACAATAGCCTTACACCGATGTTTCCAAGAAGAACAGTTATATCAATGTTTTCTTCCATTTCTTATGCAACATGGCCAGGTGGTTACGGCACTCGACTCGTAATCTGAGAGTCGCGGGTTCGAATCCCCGTCCCACCAAACATGCTCGCCCTTTCAGCCGTGGGGGCGTTATAAAGTGACGGTCAATCCCACTATTCGTTGGTGAAAAAGTAGCCCAAGAGTTGGGGGTGGGTGGTGATGACTAGCTGCCTTCCCTTCAGTCTTACACTGCTAAATTAAGGATGGCTAGCCCTCGTGTAGCTTTGCACGAAATTCAAAAACAAACAATCTTATGCAAATTTCCATAGATCAACTAATGTTTTAAGACTACTATTTCCAAACATACGCTTAAGCAGATCAAAGGTACAAAAGTCCATTGGAACTGCATTTGTAGATTTGACAGTTATGCAAATGCTCCCCTCAACAATCCACGAACAAATTCTAGAAAAAGATGCTTACGCCGAATATTTACCTGAACCAAAAGTTACCCATAAATATGGAAAGTAATAGAATACGCAAACTAATCAAACAACATTAATTGGAATACTTTTTACGCCACAATAGACAACCCACCCACTTTCTGGAAAAAATGTACAACAATATGCAATTCAATTCACCAAAAACTCGCCAAACAACGGGATTTATAATAACAAGACGACAATCACTGACAATGAATAGCAGACCTTCTCGCCGAATACTTTTCCACAGCTTTTAAAACTCCCGAGTTAAAAACTTTCCACGCCCAAACTTACCAATAAGTTAACTCTCACGTTAATAACAACTCACGTCTATATCAACCAACATTCCCAGTAAAATACGAAAAAGTACTGATCAACAATAATGCACAAAACCCAGAGAATTATATTACTAAACCCATCACAATCTGAAATCAAGCTCAATATCAAACATTTGAAAATACCGCTGTAGACGAAGACAAGATAACGAATGCAATAATTATAAATATCACAGAAAACTATACCAACCACTAAAATATCCTGTTCAACCTATCATTTTTATCCGGTTATTACCCATCAATTTGGAAACAAGCAATAATTAAAATTACCCCCCAAAATAATAACCTGGAACTACGTGACTCTAGTAATTACAGACCAATAAGTTTATCAAATTGCATACTGGAGAAAATCAGAGCTAGGAGATTATTGCTCTATCTAGAGACAAAGTACGTCCCATCAGACATTCAAACCGTTTCTAGCCAAAAAAAAAAAAAACAAGACAGACAGCCGATCATCTAGTTTGCTTAACTGAAACCATCGCCGCATCAAAAGTACAAACATATTTAATCCACATCACTTTTTTGCGGCAAATGGCGGGTAGCACTAAACACAAACAAAATACAAACAATCATATTCCACAGTAAAGTCACAAGAAAACTCCCCAATGTCAAACTTAAGATACATGACTTACATATCGCCTTTTCATAAACAGTCAAATTTCTAGGAGTCACTTTCAACAAGCAATTAACATGGATAAACCACTTTAATACAATTAGCACCAATGTTAATCAGAAGCTCAATTGCATCAGAAAAATTGGAGGGAAACTGAAAGGTTGCCAACTTGATACCATAATGATTATATTTAAGGCATAAATCAGACCTACTCTTGAATACAAGAATATTATAACATGCAACATGTCAAAATACATATCCCAAAAACTACAAACCCACAAAACAAAGCTATAAAACTAGCATACAGATTACCAAAATACAGATTTGTGTGCATGTGTGTGTATATGTGCATTATTGTTTTTAATTCAGCCATTGCTTTTAGCTCTTAACCCAGTACAATGGACACACCATATCCATACAAGAGTGTTATGAAGAGAAATTAAATTTTCTGGGCATTATTTCCAAATTCTAAATGAAGCGGGTTCAGGAGTTTAAACGTAAATACATCAAACGAAAAGAATGCAGCTCCCCCTACAGTGACGAGTCTGAGGCTTACAATGTTAAAAATCGGGTTTCTTATTATCATGTAATTAGAAACCGTAATTGGCAGAGCACAGATAGCCCATTGTGTAGCCTTGTGCTTAACTACAAAAAAACAAAAACGTTCAGTGGAAAACTCGAGAAAACTTGAAATTAGCAGGTAGCGGCTTCTGTAGTTAGAACATATAAAATTAGACCAATCGAAAATGATCTTTTAAAAATGGTGTTGAATTATTTGAAATAACGCTAATATGAGTAACTTTTTCAAACCATTGTACCTTGGAGAAGACATTAAGCAAATGGGAGTTCTTAACGTTGTTATCATCTTTAATGTGTTAAAATAAATATAAAACGCGTAAGTTGTGTGATTAGTTTAAACCATAATTTTCTGGGCCTCAGGAGGTTACAGGCCGTTCGAAGAAATTTTATTTGCTGTTTGAGTACGCTACCCGCAATAAATGAAAAACATCTTACTAGTGCTACGAATAATATATTTAAATAAGCATAGGATAAGTAGTGGTGAGCGAATAATAACCTTACTCTAAATTATGCTTGAAAGTAGTCTTAATTTAGCTTGCATAGCTAAGCGGTAGCTCTAATAGGTTTTTTTTAGCAGTTAAAGTGATTTTAATTTGGAAATCTAAGTGTTTTGTTCTTGTGCTGTAATACATTTCTAACATCTGCTATGTTATTATGCTTAATCCTAAAAGCTGGATCTAGCTGCTACTTGATCATTTGTTCTAAGACTATGTTTGCAGTTTGAAAATAGGACTATTACAACAGAATACATTTTGAACAAAGATTATGTTAGATTTTTATGTTTTCTAAACTGAACACATTAATGCTATTTGAACTTTTAAAGGATCAGTACCATGTAAAAAACATTTGTTTACTAACTTAATGAGTTAAACCTTTCTTTCGCTAAAATTATCAAGAAAATCTTATTTTGACTGTTCAACGTGACAAGTATGTTAACCATCCTGGAAAAACTAGATTTTAGATCATATATTTTTTAATGTTGTAAATAATACGTAATCCGAATTTGTTATGATTTATAGCTGAAATATACAAGGAAAATGTATAGGATTCACCTGATGTTTAATACACAATTCAGTTATAACTATACGATGTCTACGACATATAACTTGTCTTTATAGTTATAACTATACGCTGTCTACGACATATAACGTGTCTTTATAGTTATAACTATACGCTGTCTACGACATATAAC